AGGACTTTATTGTCATGAAAACCACCCTTAGTCTATAAGACTATATTGCATATATAAACAAATTAAACTTTCTGAAATTTTTGACTAAACAATTTTAGTAACAAGAAACAGAAAAAGTCTCAAAAATTTTACAAAACTTGGAATATGTCTTCTTTACAAAGGGATTGGAAATGAAGGTGCATGTAAATATTTAGATACTTTTTCTACATTTAAACCTATAACCCCCCACAAACAGCACAAAGAAGCACCATTTCATTACATTAAAAGGCATGTTAAAATGAATTAAGGTGTATACATTTTTATGAGGAATACAGAACCCACTGAAAAATCACAAATCTATGTGTGAAATGCAATAACTAGGTTTTTTGTGGCTACAATCTTCTAGGTACTTTTCCTCACTTTAGATTTTTCAAGTGCAATTTTAGGGACTTGAGCCAACTGTCACCTCTGAAACTCCCAAGTACATGAATTTAAATAAAGAGAAATCTTGATCATGCAAAAATAAATGTGCCCTCAGTTGATATCTGAGTACCACACTTTGACTTTGATCAATTCTTTCACAGGTTAATGTATTGTACAAAACTTCCTTTAAAAGTTATAATTTGTTGGTCAGTGTGAGACTTGTCTGACAGACTGGCACCGCTTTTATACATTTTGCACTTGCTCAGTGGTAGTATTGGTAGTATTCATGGAACACGACAATAATGGATGCTGCTGAGGCACTGTGGTCAGCACACTGGACTTTCTACTTTTGGCTCCTAACCGATAGGAAGGGACCAATCTCGTCGAATCCAAAGCCACGTTGATCACATGTGATTAAAGATGCTACTTGGCTGGGCTAGGCTTTGACTCCTGTCTAGCCTGGGTCGCTTGGCCTTGGGTGCTCGAAGTGTTGGAGTGTCACTGACTGAACGTCGCAACTACAGCACAAGAAAGATAGCTTTCAACATTATGAAGTAAAGATCATAGGCAGATTAAGAGTAGAGAAGATTAACCACTTCCTGCCGGGAACTCCGGGATTCGAGACGTATGGTTTATATGGGTGGCCGGGGTCTCCGAACTCGGACAAAGGA